TAAGATCTCACTGAAGTTTTTTGCTTTGTTTTAACTAAAATTTTATGTTTTTAGAATAGGTAGTGCATACATGTAGTAGAAAATTCAAGAGGCCACCAAAGGGAATTCAATCTCCTTTCCACCTTTGACCCCTTAAGTCCCAGTCCCTCTAATCATTCAAGATTTTTAAAAAGAGAAATCAAATCACAAGAGCAATGTATTGGGAAAATGAACCAGGTAGAAATATTTAGGTGAACTATATTGGAAGCAAGCACGACCCCAGTCACTGGTAATAGTGGGAATGAGAAGGAAAGGATGGATGCAAATTCCCGTGTTAGCATAGGGCCTAGAACATAGCAAACACTTCAAATTATAACTCAAATGGATCCTCAATGCTATAAGTAAAGAATGACCAAAATGACTCCAAGGTTTAGAGGCAGCATGACTGAGAACTGAAAAGTGCCGGTAACATTGTTGAAACAAAAAACCAAGGTTCAAGAATGGAGAGGGAAGATGATATAGGTAGTTCTGAATCTGTTGAGTTGAAAATGATCATGGGCCATGCAAGTGGAAACTTCTGTCAGGTGGTTGGAAATATGATTTGGTGCTAGGAAAAGAAGTTGGGAGGTTGGGGTATAACTTTAAGAATTTTCTTTTCAATAGAAATGAGAATGATGAGGGGCGCCTGGGTGGCTCAGTCGTTAAGCGTCTGTCTTCGGCTCGGGTCATGATTCTAGGGTCCTGGGATTGAGCCCCGCATAGGGCTCCCTGCTCAGTGGGAAGCCTGCTTCTCCCTCTCCCGCTCCCCCTGCTTGTGTTCCTTCTCTCGCTGTGTCTCTCTGTCAAATAAATAAATAAAATCTTAAAAAAAAAAAGAAATGAGAATGATGAAATAACTAAGGAGGACAATGTAGAAGAAGATGATTAAGAGCAGAAAATTCAGAACTATCTACATTAGGGAAGCAAAGATGAGTGAAACCAGGAGAGCCAAATGTCATGGAAACTCAGGTAGGAGACATCAAGAAGGTAGGATTAATTAGGAAAAGAGGTCAAGGAGGATGAAGAATAAAAAAAAAAAATTGCAGATTCTGTCATCAGAAAGCGGTCTGGGCCAGTAGGGGGTTGGGGGGATTGGAGAGCGTAAAAATCAAATAGCCAGGAAATAAGAAATGAGTAGGTGGTAAGGAAGTGGATTTGGCAAGTGCCTTCTTTCTTGAAAAGTTTGATAGTAAGAGATGGAACAAAAGGCATATGGGCAAAAAATGTAATATGAATGTGCACCCTAGAGCTGGGAACTCTGTAGCCTTCCTAGTGGGAGAAGCAGTGTCAACAGTTTTCAAGTAGAGGCAAGATACGAATACATTTTCAGGGAGAGAAGGAGCCAAGAGGAAGAAAGAGAATAAAGGTATAAGACAGCTGATATGGGAAAGAAATGACACCTATCTTACAACTGGATTTAGAAAGGAAAGGAGGAAGGTGTTCCTCCTCTCCCCTTAAAGGAAGGGATGATTTGAGATATTTTGATGTGAAGGGAGAGTATATGGGTGTGACTGACAGCCTGTGTTTTCTCAGGAAAGTAGGCGATCTAGTTGTCCCTCCTCAACAGAGAAACATTGCCTAGCTGAGGAACCCAAAGACCAGGACACTGGAGCAATATAAAAATAGCTAGCTTTCCCACCTGTTTCAAGTTTTTATTTAAATTCTAGTTAGTTAACATACATGGTAAAATTGGTTTCAGGTGTAGAATTTAGTGATTCATCACTTAGGTATAACACCCAGTGCTCCTCATAAGTGCCCTTCCTTAATACCCACCATCCATTTTGGCTAGATTTTTTATTGAGCACATACTTTATGGTGGCTACTTTATTTAATCTTTATAACAATGCCAAGGAGTAGATACTATTATTCTTTCCATTTCAAAAATTTATGCCTTCCTAACCTGCTCTTCTTTACCCCTGATATCCCATTTTAAAATTTTTTATCTTTATCATAGGTAATGAGAAAGTGAAAAATCAGTTATTGGCATTTCTAATCAAATGTTTGAATTATTTGCAAAGGATAACCCTGAGAGGCAGGTGATTTGTCCTCAGAGCTCAAGTTTCTTGATGCCCCTACCCCCCCAGAGATATCTACATCCTAATCCCTGTAACCTGTGAACACATCAGATTACATGGCAAAGGGAAATTAAGGTTATAGATAGAATTAAGGTTGTTAATCAGCTGATTTTGATATAGGAAGATTATCCTGGATTATCAGGGTGGGCCCAACGTATTCACAAGGTTTTAATAAGTAAAAGAGGGAAGTGAGAGACACAATCATAGAGATGGCAGCCTGAGAAAGACTCAACCAGCTGTTGCTGGCTTTGAAGATGGAGGAAAAGGGCCATCAACCAAGGAATTGTGGGTGGTCTCTAGAAGATGAAAAATGCAAGGAAATAGACTCTTCCCTGGAGCTGACAACTCTTGATTTTAGCCCAATGAGATGTGTATTGGACTTTTGGCCTATAGGACTGTCATAATAAATACGTGTTTTAAGTAACTAAGTTTGTGGTGATTTGTCATAGCAGCAATAGGAAACTGCAGGTACCTTTCCAGCTCTTATGTCATGCCCTTTCTCTTCAGACCCCAGGTACTCTTCCCCTACTCTCAAGGATTTGACAGTCACATCTTAGTGTTTTGTTGATTTACCACTTATATCTTAAGTCCTTTATCTAATAGATTCTATGTAAAGAGTGTGTACTTTGTTAAAGAAGTTTAGCAACAAACAAGTAGGTGGAGAGCAATGTTTTGGGGAAGGTGAATGATCACAATTTCCACTCAATTCTTGGAGCTAAAAATCTACTCATCTTGCACTGGTCAACCTGGACCACAGTGAATGGTAAGATTTTGAGTGTTTGATAATCGTTTTTTATTCTCTTCCCTTCTAAGGACCCCTTTTCTCCTGAGCTAAAATGAGTTGTATTATTTACATATAAATATTCTGTGCCAGCCTTGTTTAATCACATACACGAAAAGGACTTGGCTGTTTTTTAAATTTAATTTTGTTAACTTGCTAATGTTCCTCATTAAGAAATTGATATTTACAAGCGGTGGAGATGAGCATGGTCTACTACATTGCAAGGAGGAACTTCAGAATTCTGCTTATGTCAAAAGGGGAAGTGAACTCACTGGATTTTTATTCTCTTATCTCTGCTAGTGTACATTACAGCTGGAAGTAGTTCAGGTTGGCCAAAATCAGGGACTGAAGAGAGTTCAGAATTTTCTCCCACTCTACAGCGATCCTAATATTTCACAAATCTTCCCTTCTCTACCTGCACTACGTTGATGTTTTTATTCTTTCTCTGCAACTTTTCAAGTGGTGTCCTTCACATTGGTTTCCCGCACGACACATTCCCGAGTACTATAAAGTTGGGTGGTAATAATTGTTTGAATTCCTTTTTCCTGAACGTAAAGAGGCTTATCTTTAGGCTACAAAGCCTCCCTTTCGGAGGGCTTACTCAGCCTTACAATTTAGTACGTTCTGAGTATGCATAAATGGGTTCCTAGTGTACAGCGGGTCAGAAACGTTCCGCTTACTGGGAAGCCCTCGGTTTCCACTGGCTGAAGACTAAACTTTCCTCTTTTACAGGCAGGAATTTTTGCTTTTCACCAAAAGCCTTCCTTTCCTGTCACATCTCCAAGTGGGGACTCTATCGCTGTTTGCCCACGACCCTGACGCACAAAGTCACTGGGGAAGCAGCAGCAGGCTGGGAACAAGGACAGCCAGTTGGACTTCCCTGAAGGCTCAAGTCCAGAGGGATACCGGGACCTACAAGCGTTTTTCAGGATGGCAGACACTGCAGGAGCGCGGGGGTGGGGATGCCCCAGGGGTCCGCTCGGCAGCCCTAAGGCTCCGCAGGATGTGCCCTTGGCCGGGAAAGAGCCACAAAGCTCGGGACCTCAGCTTGGGTTGGGACTGGAGCCCCCTAGCCGGCAGTCTAGAGAATAAGCGACCTCGAGATAGAAGCGACAGCGACCGCCGTTAGCTTTGCTTGCAGCTAACTAGCCTTCCGCCGCGCGCGCAGCGGCGCCGCTTCCGGTTTCCAGGCCGCCCCACAGGCCCAGCCCTGGACTCGGTCTTCCTACCCCCGCAGCCCAGTTCCTCCTCCCGGCCCCGCCCCCTGCCCCGGTCCTCCTCTCTACGCTGAGGCCTCGCCTTGCCCCTCCTCCCCACCGCTTAGGCCCCGCCCTCTGGTCCCTCATTCCCCCTCCTCCCCTCCCCCCGTTCCATTTAATTGTTGGATTGTCAGCGCTGCACTCCCGCTGGCGGCCGGCAGGGGGCAGAGTTCGAGCTTGGATTTTTTTTTTTTTTTTTCCGCCGGCCGTCCCCGGGGAGGCAGTCGCGGAGTGGGGGAGGGGAGGGCGGGGCGCGAGGACGCGGTTCGGTCGGCTGCTGCGCTACTTTTTGTACCGGCTCTGCGGGGAGGTCGCGGCTGCCGCATCAGAGCTGACGTGGGGGCGACGTGGGGCCGCCGCCGGCGCCGGGTTGCTGGGCGGCGGTCGGGCTCGTCGTCTCCACCTCCTCCCGTCCGTAATCAGTGACGAGGTCCGCTACGTAAATCCCATCGCGGCGGGTAAGTGGCGCGCCGGCCCCGGACCCAGAGACCTCGGAGCCGGCGACGCGGCGCAGGAGGCGGAGGCAGGAGGTGGAGCGGAGCCGGGTCGAAGGGTCGGGGGCGTCGGGGCCCCGCAGCGGGGGCGCGGGGGCCCCGGGGCCGAGGGGAGAGCGGGAGCTGCGCGGCCGGGGGTGCCGACCCCGGGGCTTCCCCGCGGCGCGGCAGCCGCTCCCGTCTCCTGCCCCGCTCGCGGATTGCCTTCGGGGTGGTGGCAGAGCTCTCCCGAGCGGGAAGCGGGCTCCTCTGCTCTCCCTCCCTGACTCCTTTTGAACTTGGTACAAGTTGGACAAGTCTTTTGGAAAAAGCCATATTGCTCTGATGAGTGTGGTCCTCCCTCTTTGAGAAGAAAAAGAAACGAGAAGTAAGGACGTTGGTTTTATTTACCACAGCCGACGATTAGTAGCACCTTTATCTCAATTTTATGTATTCCGTTTAGATATAAATCAGCGTTAACCCATTTCTTCTCCGAAACATGAGTCGGGGACACCTATGTTGAGTCACTTTAGTCCCCAGACACGAGAGAGCTGATCAAATAGTGCGAAGACTTTTATAATAGCTGCGAAGAAGGAACAAAACCGTGACAGCTGATAGAAATTGCAGTCTCTCTTGTTCTTTACTTTTGATTTGTGCCTTTTTAGAACCCACCTAGCAATGTTCCCAGAACATGCCGAATAGGGAATAGACACATTATTCAGCATAGTTCTTTATCCTCCTGCCTATTGCGCGTATACCAGATCCCTAACTTTAAAATCGCCGAGACGTTTCCTGCACGGCGCTTAGTAAAGCAGCTGTCAATTTACGATCAAATTTTCAGCACTTCTGACTTACAGGATCAGCCTGAAGGTCTGACTAAAACCGAGAGCCCCTTTTAACAGTACCTCTTAGGTATGTAACTTCTTAAAATTTCTTCCGTTCAAGCCTAATTTGGCGGGCTGATGAGAGTGCAGCCACCTTCCCTTTAAATAAATATAAACCTAGATGCACGGCGGTAGAGGTCCGGTATGAAAATTGTATTAGATTACATTAATAATTCATGTTCTCTGTTTTTTTTCCTTTGGGTACCACATTTTTCTCCTACTCTTGGGCCTATTTTTGGATAACAGGCTGCTTTCCCTTCATAGTTTTTAAATCTTTGAACTTTTTTCTCCCAAGGAAGTTAAATTGCAGAGTGTTTTGGCCAATAAAAGCTAAGTATTAAAAAAATAATGTTTAAAGAACTGCTTAGTGATCCAGATACAACTTTTAGAAAGATATTTATGGGTTTGATCCTGAATGAGTGAACACTTAAAGCATTGTCATATTAAGTGTTGATAATTACACAAACATTTTTGGTATGAATCTATAAGTAGATCAGTGTAAGCAGATGCTTTCCCAGTGACTTGCTGGTCAACCTGGAATCATTTTGGTGAGTGTGAAGTTGTAATTACACTGATGTTTTGTGTACATATCTTGTAAGAGTATATGAATAAATTTTTATTGGATGTATAAACACAGAGGAGCTCTTCAGTCTTTGTTTTTGCTTTTTCCTGGAAGGTAAATGAAATTTGCTTCTACTGATGAATTCAAGAAACTCCAGACTCCATAGACCACTTTAGTTTCCTACTGAGGCAAGTTATTGCATGATTAAAAGGTGAAATCTTTTTTAGAATTCCATGAAAAGTAGGGAAGAGGTTCAGGTTATAAATACACATAAGGAATCCTGACTGAAACTTGACCAGTAGGTACATATTTCTGATCTGTTTTCCCTAACTTGATATTCTCTGCAAGTTAATATTGGGCCAGAAAATTGAGCCAGGTTTATTGTTGATGTAGTAGGCCATTGGAAAGCACTCAAATGTCCTGTTCCATTTAGATAGACTTTAAAAGTAAAACTGAGCAATGCAAACACTTCACAGCTGAACCACTGATATTTTGACGTGCAGTCAACATTGGTCATTAAGGAAGTAAGCCTGAAATGTCTTTGAATTCTGTTAAGTATTTCTACTTTACTGAACTAATGGATTCCATATATAAAAGTCAACTTTGAGAAGTTATTGTACATTGAATGCAATTTTAACATTATCAATACAGATAGATCATAAAAGTAAAAATTTCAGGGGTTATGTTTTTTATCCATTACACACAGGTAGAAATAAACATTTTAAATCATTTTGTTAATTTCCTTTTAAAGAATATTTAAGGTTTTTAAAATACTTTCTACCATGAGAACTGTTTAATAAAGAGTACACTGTTTGTAAGAGTAAATCCTTTCACTCATGGGTTTTCTTTTTCTAACGTGTTAGGATATCCAGTAGAGAATAAGAGGGAATGAAAAGGAAAACTTAAGGATAACACTAGTGGGATTTTATCTTGATACTACTCATGAAGACAACTTGAGTCTTACTGGTATAATTCTGTTACAGTGAAGTTTAAAAATTACAATATCTATCTTGCATATCTTTTTTTTTTTTAATCTTGCACATCTTTTGATTGGCTTTCCCAGGAGTGTTAGAGAAAATTGTTGGCAAGGGGTATATAAAACAGTTTTGAAGAAAAACATAGGCTAGGAAGTTATGTGGGAGTTTTGCTTAAAGACTGATGGAATAACTGTCTGACTGGTAAGGGAGGATACTTGCCTCTTAGAAAACCTTACTAGCAGCTTTTTTGTGAGGCTCTTTTGAAGCACCCAGTTCTCCCAAAGTGGGAATCATCTTCACGTGTATTTTCTGAACAGTGATACAGCCAGACCCATTAAATGTCGGTCGTGTGAAATACTAATGACGGAGCTCGTGTGATTCTGATAATTTGAGAATTTCCCAAAACCAGTTTTTTCAAAGTTATCTTCTTGAAGCTCTTTTTTTTTTTTTTTTTTAACACAGCGGACTTAAAATTAGACCATCCTAACACGTGTCATGGTTGTTTGTTTTTTTTTAAGATTTTATTTATTTGACAGAGACACAGTGAAAGAGGGCACACAAGCAGGGGGAAGCGGCGGGCAGAGGGAGAAGCAGGCTCCCCGCTGAGGAGGGAGCCCATCCCAGGACTCTGGGATCATGACCTGAGCCGAAGCAGACGCCTAACGACTGAGACACCCAGGCGCCTCCGTGTCATACAGTTTTGTTCATAATCTCAAATAACCTCAGGTTTTTTCATTGATAGCACAAAAATTATTTTTTTGCTTTGAAATGTCTTAAAGTGGAATTTATATTCTAACATTGATATTATAAAAGCTTCTAGCTCAGGTATTGGAGAAACTGAATCATGCATAAAGACCTATGATACTGTATATGGACAGTTGGGATGCTTTCACTCCTTTTAAAATTGATGGAGGTGTTAAAATTAACCTATTTAAGCATGTTTCTGGACTTAGAGAGGTAGCAGTTTTGTTCATATACACACAATAGGACCAATCTAGGTAAGTATAATAACGTTGAAATTCATTTCTCTGAACTTTAGCTAATTCAAGTGTCTTATCTACTCTTTTCCAGATTTATTAGTTAATAGTTACTAGAGTTGTACTTTGTGTAGGTAAGTGTTTTGAAATGTACTTAAAATGCAGTAATGAAATACAATATGAACAGGAAAACCCAGCAATGACTCCAGTCAAGCAAATAACCCACAGAAGATTTTAAATTTTGTTTCCTTCCATGAAGTGGTGGTGGTGGTGGTGGAGAGGGTGGTATTTGGAGAGGTGGAGATAGGCCATGATTATTTGAATTTTATTTTTCATTTCCTCCTTACCAGCCAGTTTTGCTGTTCATTGACTGTGAAATAGCCAAAAGCAGGTGCCAGGTGGAGAATCAGTTGAGAAAGAGAGGCTGAAATAGTTAATCCTTTGGTGATTTTTATAAAGCGCTAAGATTTCTTAAATAATAGGTATCTGAGGCAATTAAATTGGAGTGGCCTTGACTCTATTAAAAGCCACCTGATTTTCTATATGATTCATGTTTAATTAAAGACGTTATTTGCAAGTGTCTCAATTATTTATAAGTACTGCTTCTGGCTACTTCTGTTTTTACACAACAGTATAAAGAATGTTATTTGAAAGTTATTCTAACTTTGTTTCACAATCATTACAAAACTAAAAGTGGTATAATTTCCTTTTTTTTTTTTTTAAAGATTTTTTATTTATTTGAGAGAGAGAATGAGAGAGAGCACGAGAGGGAAGAGGGTCAGAGGGAGAAGCAGACTCCCCGCCGAGCAGGGAGCCCGATGTGGGACTCGATCCCAGGACTCCAGGATCATGACCTGAGCCGAAGGCAGTCGCTTAACCGACTGAGCCACCCAGGCGCCCTAAAAGTGGTATAATTTCCTGTCACTACTCTCCCACTTTGTTTCTCCTGTACTCCTCTCCTTCGCGTAAAATGCAGAGTAAGCATAGGCTCATCCCTGCCAACTTCAGGTATTTGGCTCTTTGGAATTACTTCTGTCTTCTACCCAGCCCTGCCTTCTCCCTAGTTTTTTAATTGATGTGATTGAAAAGAACAGCTCTATATGCACTTTATATTCTTCCCTTATCTTTCAAACCTTACTCGCTATTGTTATTTAAATCATGATTGACTCTGAAGATTACTTTCTCAAGGAACTAAAACCTTGCTTCATCCCGGAACCAGAGAAACAGATACACTTTCCTGTGGTCTCTTTCTCTTCTTGCTTCCATGAGAGGTGTATCGCCTTCTATTCCACATTCTTTCCTTTTTATTTTGACTATTCTAATTGCAACGTGGGATTTTTTTTGGTTGTTTTGTTTTTGTTTTTGTTTCCCCCCACCCTTCCTGCAAAAACTATCTCAATGCATAATTTACAATTTCCATTTTTGGGTTCTTGAAAGTAGAGCAAGAACTTAGGTTGTTTTGCAAGTGTCTTTGTAAAGAACTCGACATATTTGTCATATTTCCCCAACATTTTATAGTTCTTTCCAACTGTAATATCTAGCCCCAAAGCAGGATTTTTAAAAAGCAGCCTGCCTTTGTCTTTTCAAAGCAATCAATTTAGTTCTCAAAGAAGCTGCTCTTTAAATCTATTTAATAATTGGGGCGCCAGTCGTTAAGCGTCTGCCTTCGGCTCGGGTCATGATCTCAGGGTCCTGGGATCGAGCCCCGTGTCGGGCTCCCGGCTCCGCGGGAAGCCTGCTTCTCCCTCTCCCACTCCCCGTGCTTGTGTTCCTGCTCTTGCGGTCTCTCTCTCTGTCAAATAAATAAATAAAATCTTTTAAAAAAATAAATCTAATAATTTAACATTCTATTTTTAACAGAATTCCAAATTTAGTAAGTGTAGCTGGTATAATCAAGTTAGGTGATAAATATGACTAACTCTTGCTAAGCATCCACCACAGCTGTTAGAAACAGAAGTGCTTGGGAACACTAGAGAATGACTATGGGCATTAGCTATACTGTAGGTTTTATAGAAGAAATGGAGAACATTGGTTCATACAGAGTTGGCTGGGGACAAGCAAGTTGGTTAGGTAAGCCTTTATATTCTAGTAAAGTTGCCCAAGAAGTTTGATTCTTTTTTTTTTTTAAGATTTTATTTATTTATTTGTCAGAGAGAGAACAGGCAGGGGGAGATGGAGAAATAGGCACCCTGCTGAGCAAGGAGCTGGATGCAGGGCTTGATCCCAGGACCCTGGGATCATGACCTGAGCCGAAGGCAGACACTTAACCAACTGAGCCACCCAGGCTGCCCCTAATCAATGTGTTTTAAATACCTGTTATAGAGAGCTCTATATTAAAGGATACTTGATAACAATGAAATTAATTGAATCTGTATGCCAGAGGGTGAATAGAGCAACACACAGATGAAGAGTAAGGTGAATGCCAGGTGTGATTTTGGTAATTAAACCTAATATATGATAGAAAATTTTTACCAGTGTGATAAATGGCTTTTCTCCAGATACAGCACAGAAATTCACATATAGGCAAAAGAATTTGGAACTCGTTTTTCTCTCTTAGTATAAGCTCTTATTTGCCTATAATAAACTAATCTAAGATATGCCTTTCCACTCTAAAAGAGAAAGTTTCCTTAGCAGATAGGTCTTTAAAAAAAATTTTTTTTTTTAAAAATTGGTAGTATCCAGGACATTACATCAGTATCCTTTGTGATTTTAGGCATAAGGAGATCAGCTTAAAAATTATAACCTCAGACTGTATTATGAAATATGATGAATTCAAGGGGTATTATGTTTTAGGCTAAATAGAATACATATTGTAATTAGCTTAGTATGAGAACATATTAGGACATTTGAGCTCTTAACTGTTCAGGTGTTTGTGTATGTGGGAGTGGAGGACCCTAAGTCAATCCTTGTCTACCGAAGAGTAGCATGTTCTAGGACATTAAAACCAGATTTGGATGAGATCAATAGTATAAAAAGCAGCTGAGTTTTTCAAAGTATGCACAGCTTAAACTTTAGTAAAATGGGATCTCCTGCTTTACAAATCCACACAAGGTAATTTTGAACCTGGAAAATTAATGTAATGGAAAGGATTGGTATACCTTACAATTTGAATGCTTTTACAACAAACTTTATTAAGCCTCTACCAAGTACCTCAAACTATAATGCTCAGAACTTTGGCTATTTATTAAGGCAAGGGGTCTGTTGGAGGATTTTGAATAAGGAAATAAATAGCATGTTTGGATTTTGTATTTTGAATAGAGTGTTGTGGTCTAGTGGAGTAGACTAAGAGAGGTTGAGAGAGGTTTGAGTGAAGTGAAGTTATTATAGGGAGAGACGAATTGCTTTATAGAGAGGCAGTTACTGCTTTAATCTTGTCAAATAATCAGTTTCAGAACTAAAGCAGTGTCAGATGATGGAGAGAATGGAGCAGAGTCAGACAGGAGATAAAATTATTGAGGCTAAGTTAGGTAGTGGTTGGTCTTTGCTTATATTCCAAGCACAGTTGGACATTTTGTGTTTGTTATTACATTTTCTCCTCACAAAAAGATCTCCATTTGACAGAGAAGAATGCTTGGAAGATTTTATTATTGTTGAGATCACATAGCTAATAAAGGATAGAACTCAGGGCAGGGTAACATCCAGCTCAGCTTCCAATGCCAGTGCTTTTTACTTCTTCTTTTTTTTTTTTTTAAAGATTTTATTTATTTATTTGACAGAGAGAGAGAGGGAACACAAGCAGGGAGAGTGGGAGAGGGAGAAGCAGGCTTCTTGCTGAGTAGGGAGCCTAACGCGGGGCTTGATCCCAGGACCCTGGGATCATGACCTGAGCCGAAGGCAGATGCTTAACAACTGAGCCACCCAGGCGCCCCAATGCCAATGCTTTTTATACCACACACTATTGCTACCACTAGACCACGTTGTCTCCTCAGGAATTGAGGACATGGGAAGTGGGGAATGAAGGGAGAGGAAAACTCCCAGATGGGGTGACTGAGTCAGTGTTGATGTCACTCACTGAGATAAGAGTACCGCAAGAGGAGAGATGCAGAGTGAGGGCGTTGAGGTTAGATTTGAACATTTGGGGCTTGAAGATCTGTGAGCAAACCATTAAGAGATACCTAATAGGCAGATGCAGATGGGCTGGAGCTCAGGAGAGAGAAGTCTCGACTGCAGATGAGATCTGAGACTGATCAAGTGAGGACGAAGTAGCCTAGGGAGCCTCTGTGTGTGTGTGGGGGGGATTTTTGTGACGGGAAGCCTGGGAATACCTTTAAAGAGTAGGCAAAGAAGATTGAGGACAAAGGTACTGGATAATTTGGAAGAAAAGCATGAACACAGTGTTTCAAAGAGTTCAAGCAGCAGAAAATTTGGTAATTTGCTGTAGGGATATAAGGAAGATAGGGACTAGAAAGCTTTCTTTTAGATTTGGCAAGCAGACAATCAACCCGTGATGACTTCTTAGAGAGTAGTTGCAATGAAATCATTCTTTGATAAGCCTGAGTCGGAATCAGTTTTGTCTGATGGTCATTATTCTGGTATGAGACTAGTCATTTTCCCTTTTGACATCTTGTGGCTGTGGTGGCTGGAAGCTGGTGCTTCCTTCAATGCTGATTGCCTCTGGGAAGAGCAAGTGGATAGCTGTTACTGGACTTCAGTGCATACCTTTTGCTACTTTATGAATTTTGGACCATAAGAATGTATTACTCATTCAAAAATTAAACAAAATGGTATTTCCAAGAGAAATATAGAAATTAGAGTTAATTCTCTTTTTATGTGGTGCCAAGATCATTATTATTCAAATAATATTATCAGTGTTCTTTGTTTAAATGTCTGTCTCATTAAATTGCAATCTGGAGAGTGGGGACATTTTATTATCTGTCTCTTCTGTGCTGTTCCCTGCCCTCTAGGCTATGCAATTTTTATGGAAGATTAGATATCCCAATGTAAAACACCAGTAGATTATAACAGAATAAGGTTTAATCCAAAGGAATGGCACCATCCTTGCTTTTTGTTTGTGTTGTAGGTAGCCTGGTTCAAATGTCCTGCCATCTCCCGTAGTCCTTATGCTGGGAGATGGGGGGACAGAGGGACGGTAGCTATAACCATTGTCCTCGTGCCCTTAGGCAAACCTGCTGGCTCAGTTTTTTGTTTTTGTTTTTGTTTTTGAGATTTTTATTTATTTGATAGCAAAGTAGGCAGAGTGGCAGGTAGAGGAGAGTGAGAAACAGGCTCTCCGCTGAGCAGGGAACCTGACGTGGGGCTGGATCCCAGGACCCTGGGACCCTGACCTGAGCCAAAGGCAGATGCTTAACCGACTGAGCCACCCAGGCGCCCCACCTACTGGCTCAGTTTTTAAAATGACTAGGATGGTATGACACCATTTTAGAGGGGCCACTTAGGAGGGAACTCTGAAAGCAGTATGTCTGTGGCTAAGCCCCACCATTGCTGGCAAAGATGCCTAGAAGACCCTTAGGGCTGTGCACATTTATCCTTTCCACCTCAACAGTGAATTAAGGGCTCCCAGTTCCTTTGTCTTTTTTCTTTGCCAATTTTACTTCATTCAGCTCGTCAAATATATATTTTTAAAAGATATTAGTAAAAAAATGGGGTTTAATTGCTAGAGTGTCAAAAACAGCTTTTTAAGTGGACAATAGATTTTTGGAGGAGATTTTAAAGGAACTGTTAATATTTTGTTTGGGATTAAAATTCTTTGACAAAAGCCTTTTTGAATTTAAGGTAAATAAAAAATGGTTGACAAATTTGTTGCAGGGGAATGAAATTTAAGAAAATGATAAAAGAAAATGATAAATTCACTCAGTTTATTAAGTGATCATTATTTTAAAATAAAGCTGATACCATTAGCTATAATGTAGTGTATATTCAATGATTCAGACAGCACTGCTTTCTCAAAGGAGGAAGTAACCTGATAAATAGCACATGATTTACGTTTTTTGAATTTTTTCTTCTAGAAGATAAGAAAATTGCAAAGAAGTAAGATTGGAAAAAAAATACAGAGTTTTAACTTCCTAGTCTGTTTTCTCAGTTTTGTAGAAATTAGGGTATTCTGGGGGGTATTCTGGTGTAGTTTGGAGAGATTTTATTTGTTTATTTACTTATTTATTTATTTTTGAGTTTTTTTTTTTAATGAAATTTGTGATCTCCCAATTCAACTGTACTTTTTCCTGCAGGATAAATAAAGAAGAAAACGGAGAAGGAACAAAGCATTGATTATAAATGTCTTAATAATGAACAAATGCGGAAGGAAAAAATATATTAAGACAAATCTAAGGTAGGTGGATATATGTTTTTCTGTTCTTTTGAAAGTTCTGCTTAGAGAGTTAAAAGTTAAACTAATGGGTAAGTGAATGATACATATGTAGAGAGAGAGAGACATGTATCCATAAATGTATATATGTGTATGTATGTGTATATATGGTAGTAAGGTAAATGTACCCAGTGTGGTCAACTATTCAACTGAAGTGTTCACCTTCTACCCTGTACCCTGTGAAGCAATGGAGGGGAGAAGTGGACGTTAACATTCAGCTTGTGTTGCATGCTGGCCTTTTTATTTAGAAAGGAGACCATACGTAAGGATGTGGACAGAGTTTTAGTTTTCTTCCCTTCTTGCCTTTAAGTTATGCTTGTTCCTAATGTAAAACAGAACATTGTCCTTATCAATTTTTTACAAAAATCCAGATAGAATTTTTCAAGTTTTCTTTTGGCTACTTTCAGAGACATTCTGGTTTATTAGTTGGATCTAGCTTTAAAAAGAAAATAAATTTTCTATGACTTTTTTTGTAAAACTATTTATAAATAAAGAATAGAAACAAGTAATAATTTTTCCTTTCGCATCTGGATTCTATTTTTAAAATTTTACAAGGGCAAATATAGTTGCTTTACAGTGTAGTTTGTCTTTGCAAATGGGATACAATTAAGATATTAGAAGTTTGTTAGTTAATTGAACACTTTAATTATAATTAGGAAACTGCCCTTGCCTTATTTTTCATTTAGATAGATTTGGCCTGTATTTCTCTCTCTTTGTTTTCTCTCGTCTTTTAAGAACACTTTCCTAGGTACCAACGATAGCATTCCTTTAAAATGTTTTCTTCTCATTTTTTTCTTCTAGTTATTTATCTTATATGTTCTTGACACATAGGGATGCCTAAATAACTTTGGTCATTAGTTGCCTCAGTATTTCTATAATTGTAAATATAATTTTATGAATATATTCCTTTGTATTTATTTCTTGAAGGCATATAATGGGTTGTCTACCTATTTTGTTGTACTGTACAAACAGACTGTACTGTTATACTTCAATGTTTTGAGGAGTTATTGCAGTATGACATAGATGTTCTATTAAAGTTCTAGAAAATAACAGAGTAAGCAAACACAGTTCTACCCCTCTAAAAGTAGTTCAACCTAGAAGTCTTTGAAAACTGTGCTAATGGATGGATCCTATTATTTTAAAACATGGCTATCTTAACATTTTATTAAACTGAATCCTAATATATTTAGAACATATTGGGATAACATTTATTTCTCTATCAAAGAAGAAAATGATTTGCTAAATAATATAAAGAAAATTTCAGAAGAAATATTTAACCTTCATAAGAAAAGAATATTGCTACTACTATTAATCATTTATAAGTTTAAATATGCCCATTTTGGTGATTTTTATCTGTTTTTTTAGATTTGTGGAACCAAATATTTGCCAGTATTTTGCTTGCTGTTAGTTTATAGTGTTTAATGGGCTTTTTGTTTTTGTTTTAGTTTTTTTATTGCTTCATCTTATATGTCTTTATTTTTAAATATTTTATAACATTACTAATTGGTCTTTCTAATAAGGGTTACTGTTTAAGATTAAAATATTGCTCAATTAATTTATAGATTATTAACTTTAAACATTTGATATAGAAAGTGAGATTTTGGGGCACCTGGGTGGCTCAGTCGTTAAGCGTCTGCCTTCGGCTCAGGTCATGATCCCAGGGTCCTGGGATCGAGTTCTGCATCGGTCTCCCTGCTTGGGAAGCCTGCTTCTCCCTCTCCCACTCTCCCTGCTTGTGTTCCCTCTCTCGCTGTCTCTCTCTCTGTTAAAAAATAAAATCTTAAAAAAAAAAAGTGAGATTTTGGGGAACATATTCTTGGATACATCTCTTCGGTTTTAACTGTAAGATACATGGTGAACAATGAAGGACTGTAATGGATTTTTCTCTTATACTTCATAAATGAATTCTGTCTGGACTAACTGAGTCTGATTTTCAGGTGTTGGTGTTGTATGTATATCATTTACACTGAGTTCTGGGTCCTAAATCTCCCACTGAAATACTGTTTGAAAATGCCTAGTATAGTGCTTGACCCATGTTGAACATTTAATTCTTAGTTGAACCTTCTTCCCTGAGTCCTGCCCTAGGGTTGGTTCTTAGTGGGTTTAAGAGGTTTGTACTAGAGAGCAGTTGGATATTGATCAGTAGAATAAACAGGCTTGAAAATGATAAGGGTATATATTTTAAATAGATAGCACTGGCTTAGTCTTCTGTAGATGATTTTTACCTTCAAATACATTGATTTTACTTTACTTACTATTTTTAAAAAATATTCTTTTTTTTTTTTTTTAAAGTAATCTCTGCATCCAATGTGGGGCTCGCACTCATGAGCCTGAGATCAAGAGTCGCGTGCTTCACCAACTGAGCCAGCCAGGCACCCCTCAAATAAATTGATTTTAGTATCAAACTTGTACTGAATGACATGTACTGGTCACTATACTAGGCACTCTAGAAGAATACAAATGGTATAAAATTAGAGTCCCTACATACTAGTGTGAAAGACAAAGCATATCTGGATGAAGATTGTAACAATAGTTGCAGCATAGTCAAAAGCACATCTTTATTATAAAATGCTGTCTAAACTGGAATACTCAGGGTCCTGGCTGTGGAAGGAACCCTAGAGTTCACAAGACCTCTTGTTCACTGTCTGTCATGCTATCTATTATGTGCCCTGTGGAAAGTCACTTAATCTCTCTAAACCTTATTTTTTTATCATTTTAGTGACATCTGACAGTTGTATAGTCTTCCCAAATAGTTGATTAGTTGGTTTATTTAACAATTATGGTAGGTTCTGTACTAGGCACTGGCAATACTTTGAAATATAAGATGTAATCCCTGTCCCTGAGTTGCTTACACTAGTGTTAGTACTTTGTGAATAAATGTATTATATGCTAGACAAGTGTTATAATGGAAGTATTGCATAAAATGCTTTGGGAACTCAGAACAGAATAACTAATTCTGTCCAAGGCTATTAGAATAGGCTTTTGAGAATGGTGTCCTTCAACCAGGCCTTGAAAAACTTGTAGGAATTTGCCTGTTAGACAAAGAAGGGGGGAAGGGCAGTTCAGGAAGAGAGAAGAACCGATATAAAAGATTAGAACTGAGGGCATAGGATGTGTATTTGAAAGAATTGGCTTATGAGGAGGCCAGAATGCAGAATGTGGGAAGAAAGGAGTGACTGAAAATGAGGCCATAAAAGTAAAATAGGGTCACATTGTGAAAGAGATTGAATGGCAGTTTGGTTTGGTAATTGAGAATATGGACTTTGGAAAAAGATCTTAGTTCAGAACCTGGCTATGCCACTCTGATCAGATCAGATTGTTGGTAAGATTAAGTTCTTAACCTCCTTATGGAGGTTACCTCATTATCTCTAAAAGAAGAACTAAGTATCCTGATCTTATAAAGTTGTTAAGGATTAAAGCCAGTAGGCTTTTACCACATGGTAAGCACCAACAAATGGTTGTTGTGGTTATGATTATTGTAAGAAGTTTGAATTTTATCCTACTGTTAATAGAGGGCTACTGAAGTGTTTTAAGCCAAAATGTATGCTTGAGAAAGAGACTTGTTAGCATGGATTGGAATAGGGAGATTGAGCAGTGGTGAAGAAGGGACTAACTTGTTCTTTAGTAATTAGAGTCATCACACTTGGTATTGATGCTGTAGGGAATGAAGGGGGGGTGTTAGAGATGACACCCAGGTTGTCACCTGATGGATGGTGGAGCTGCATTTCCTGAGGTAAGAAACTCAGAGCAGGAACACATTTGTGGACAAAGAAGGAGGAGATTAGTCTGGACCCACTGAGTTTGAGGTACCTGTAGGGCACCTATTTGGAGATGATAGATAGCATTTGAATATATGATTTTGGAATTCAGGAGAGACCTGTGGGCTGGAGATCTAGATTTGAGAGTGATAAGCCTGAAGCTGGTGTTTGAAACTAGAGAAATGGATGACAATGCACAAAGGGAGATTTGAGAGTGAGGTGAAAAGGCTAAACAGAGCCCTGAAGACATGCAGTGTGAAAGTTGACATTGAGTAGGAGAAGGAATTAGCAAAGGAGCTTGTGGAGGAGTTGTCAAAGAATGGGATGAGACCATAAGATGCAATATGATGACATGACGAAGGAAGATGCCAACAGTTTTGAATACTGCTGAGGGATCAAGCCAGATAGGACTTAAAATGAACATTAGATTTAGTGACAAATTCGTTATCTTTACTAGAGAAATTTAGTGAAGCAGAAGCCAGTTTAGGGTTGTCTAGGAATAGATTGGAGATAAAGAAATGGATATAGTGTTGGTAATTCTTTAATGTAGTTTAGCAGTGAGGAAGAAGAGAGGTTCAAGACAATAGCTAGAAAAGGACTTTGGTGGAGTGTGTGTGTGTGTGTGTGTGTGTGTGTGTGTGTGTGTGTGTGTGTGTGATTGAAGAGACTTGAACCTAAATCTTGATAAGAGGAGACCATTGGACGGGGGGAAGGGTAATTGATAATATAGTTGCCTTGAAGAGGGATCCAGAGCACAGATAAAAGAATTTAAGAGAGGCAAGATAAAATGGTGGGTGTAGACATAAGTGGGTTTGTTGATTTGGTGGCAGGAAATTGAAGGAGTTCTCATCTGAACAGGAGGCAAGTCCTTACATTGAGTGTAGGGTAGTAGGTGGGCTCGGAGATTTGAGAAGAGGGAGAAAAATTTGGAAGAGTTGTAGAGAATGGAAGAGTAAGTTCACTAGGGAAATAGTATGATTGCTGCCTATTTGAGGTTAAAAGCCATGAGTTCAATAGGCTTAATAATACTGTTTTATAATTTTATGCAGTATTGTTCATCAGCCTTGGTGAAGGCAGAGAGGAGGTAGAATTGGTTTTATCTGAGATTGGTATTTACCAGGCAGATACAACGGAAAGACAAGGGACAGGAGAACTTAGGGTATTGGGAAACCATAATTAAAATGAGAAACCATGGATTCTAAGTTGAATAGGATGGGATTTGAAGAAAATCGGAGGCTGATGGAAAGAGAAAGTGGTCTGGAGATGTCAGTGTGGTAGAATAGCAGGTGTGATATGAGTAATCGAGGGTGGATGTAAGTTGGGAAGGTAGGATATTGTAGTCAGAGTGGGATGTCAGGATTAATTATTTCAGCGGTGGAGCAGTTTGGGACACAGATTATGTCCAGTGTATGACCAGCTAAGTAGATGGCAGTGGAGTAGAGAAAGTCTTGGACTGAGGCATCAGGGTGAGGCAGGGGTCCTTCCTTTGAATGTTGAACATAACCAAATAGTGGAGAGGAAAGCTTTTTTATTTTTTATTTTTTTTAAGATTTATTTATTTGAGAGAGAGAGAGAGAGAGCGCACGTGTGTATGAGCAGCAGTGGCGGGGGGTGGGGTGGGGGGAGAGAATCTCAAGCGGACTCCCCACTGAAGGTGGAGCCCAATGCAGAGCTCAATCTCACAACCCTGAGATCACGACCTGAGCTGAAATCAAGAGTCAGACGCTTAACTGACTGAGCCCCCCAGACACTCCGGACAGGAAAGCTTTTAAGTCAGGTGTCAAAGTCTTCAGTTTACATCCTGGATGTAAGTAGAAAATAATTATTGTATGGATGAATATAGGATGGTATACCTGAGAACTTTGGGCTTTAACAGAACAGGGGTTTCTACAAAGGCACAGAGGAGGAACAGTTGAGAAATGGTAGTGGGAATCAAGAGGGTACTAGGTCAACATTCTGATTCTGATTAGGTCCGGGAAGACAAGCTGCTATCTACTGAGGGGCTGAGGTGGGGGCTGAAGTTCCAGATAGCACGTCGCAAGGGCTTGGAAGGAGAATAGGAACAGGAGTAAGCAACTGAATTACGGGGGGAAAGGAAGCACTAATTATGAGAGGGACAATGAAGTATGGGAAGAGCTTACATTTTTGACAGTGACTGGGGAGGTAGGAATGTGAGGTGTTAATGGATGTGATTCTGGCATGGGTGAAGGGTCATCATGGCTTAGTTTAGTTTAGTCATGGCTTATAGGGAGGCCAAGTGTGATGTGTAGTCTTTAGAATGGATGGCAGCAATGATGAGGAGTAGCAACTCAGCAGCTTGGTCCAGTGTTGGGATAGGAGGTTATAGTAGCTGATGCCACATGTGGCAGGAAGGATGAATTGGGGGTGGCTGCTGACCTTCAATTCTGCTTTTCTTTACTAGGAGGCTCCAGGTCTCATGGCATCCTGATTTGGCTGATACTTAGCTCTGTGGGTTTTTGTCACTAATCTGGTGCCAGCTCGTATATGGACACATGCTTGTAGCTTGTTGCTTTGGTGCTTGAGTGGGTAGTGATGCTCTTGAATAAAAGAAATAGAAGGGAGGGGGCAGGCATCTGAAAACTAGATTGAGATGCTTTAAAGGAGGGGAGTGTGCACAAATACAGACTTGGGAGTCATCTGCATATAGGATTGAAGAAGCTGTAGTATATAGATTGAAGAAAGGAAAGGGCAAAGGGTTGGACTCTGGGACGTACCCAGGAGAAAATGGGAGCAATTAAGGTGATTACTTGGCATAATGCCTGACAAAACACTTTCATGTGTGAAACATTTTGAAATGTTAATAACTTATGAAATCTTTCATTATATATATATATGTGCATATATATATATATATATAATATACATAATCTATTATACCTCAAAAAAATGAGTCCTAGTTTAGGGTGACCCTTTTAAGCATTCGAGCTTTTTTTTTGATGAAAGTCTTTCTGGATTCTATTATGTGTATCCCTCTTTCCTTAAAGTATACTGAGTATAATTAACCTCGAGTTGATGACTCATGATAGTTATTATAAATATCACTATTGAATTTTAACTCATATTTTTCAGTTTCTTGAATGTAAAGAACTTGGCAACTTTACCTTGTATGGATCCAAATTACTGCACACTTGTAATTCTTGATCTGCTTATTATATTCTATATTCTTCCTCCATCCCTGCCATTGTCAGCTGTTACTTCTTATATCTAATATATTTGGAAACCAGATAAATGAGAATTGTATTTGAAATGAAAATGAATGGGTTTAAAGTATAGTCTAGGAGAGGTTCTCTTTGCTTTAGAAGTTTTAGTATATAGGCTTTAGGCCATTTGTTTTGCGTATTAACAGGTAACTTTGGCTTATTATTCAGTTGTTGACTGAATTCTACATGGGTATCAAATGGTTGAAATGTTATACAGTATAGATTGACAAAATACACACCGAAGGACCTAGAGTAGAGGAGACATCTGAGTGAGGTGGACTTTTTTTTCCTCTCTATAGCTTTATTTATTTATTTTTTAAAGATTTATTTATTTATTTTAGAGTGAGAGAGAGAGAGAGAGCACAAGCAGGGGGAGGGACAGAAGGAGACGGAAAGCAGACTTCCCTTTCAGCAGGGAGCCCGACACAGGGCTCGATCTCAGGACCCTGAGATCATGACCAGAGCTGAAACCAAGAGTCGATGCCCAACCGACCTAGCCGCCCAGGTGCCCTCTGTCTAGACCTTTAAAAGCTGTTCTTTCTCTGATCCCATCCGACCTTTCTAGCCCTGCTTTGCCTCCTCCTCACTGAACCTAAGTAGGCTCCCCTGGCACCTAGATTCTCTACTACAATCTGCTATTCTGTTTTCCAGCCACACTCTATACTTCCCTTGCTCTCATAGTTCTCTTTTCCTCTTCTACCTGGTGAAATTCTTCTCATTGTTCAGTATATGTTTATATGGCCCCATCCTCAGGTAGATGTAATCATTACTTCCTATGTTTCCCAAAGTATTTTATGCATAACATCCTTTACACAATTTAAGAAGTTACTTTACATGTGTTCCTTATGGGTCTACCTGATAGAATTTACCAATAAGCTAAGGTTTTCCTAAATTTTAATATACATCAGAATCTCTTGGATATAAAAAAAATTAGATGCCCCAGAAAGTTTGATTCAGTAGATTTGGGGTTGAGCCGGCAATCTGCTCCCCGCCTCCCCCAACAAGTAACTTCTGATGGAAGTTGTCCAAAGACCAATTAATGAATGAATTCCTTCAGGGCAAGGGCTACAAATTACCCACTTTTGTATTTTGGGGGCCTGTCATGTAGATGGTGCTAAATAAATGTTTCTAAAATGAATAGTTTAGTGGGGAAGGCCTTCTAGCATAATGTTTTGAGTTGAGACTCAAGTTCTTGGCAGAGCTCTTAAGAGAACTTTAAAAAAGTGTAAGAAATAGCATAAGACAACATTTCTCAAGTTGTTTCCAGAACACGACTTTTAAGACATGCCTTGTGGAAAAAGAGTTTTTGGTGGTCAGATACTTTTGGAAAATGCTTCCTATTGGATCTGCACCTTCCACCTTCTGAAGGCCCACTAGCATATTCAGGCTTCTGAGTTGTGCAGCAAAGAAAACATTTAACCCCAGATATTTAGAACTTTTTCACTGTTTCCCCCACCCTCTTTTTTAGATAATACCTTTTCATAACCTGCAGAACTAAATGTTCTGAGGTATTCTGTTTGGGAACTGTTCACATAAGCAAACGTAGAGCCAGAAGAATTGGCAGTTTATGCAGGGTGATCTATACTTGCCTAGGCTGTTCTAGAAGATAAGAGAGATAAAGGAACTGGGGAATAGTAAGGGAAAGACATTTTTTTTATAGTAGACTAGATTTTTATCATTTATAATTGCTCTAAATTGTCATGTTCTAAGTTTTGAAATGATTTTCAATAGAAGTAACTTAAGTGCAGTATAAATGGGTGTGAGAATGGAAGGCTTGGATTCAGATAATGACTATTGAAATGCAAAAGAAGGTAGTAAAGTGCAAGACATGGTTGAAAGCTTTGTAGGATCTGGTAACTAAATCTGAAAGAAGGATTTGGATATTTTAATACAAAGTTCTAAGGGGCTTGCATACTTTTTGGCTATATAGTTAGACTACTAAAGTGAGAAAAACACACTGTATCATTGATAGTTGAAAATAACAGCAGGGAGAATAGTTCCTGTGAGTTTTTAATGTTTGATTTTGTTTATTTTGTTTGTAGTTTGTATTTCTTCTAGTAGGATAAAATTTATTATAATATGGTTTATCTTATATATAGAAATAGAAATCATTAACTTAAATTGATATCATAGACAAAATTATGTCAAAATTTTTCCGGAAAAATTAGATTCTCTTCTTTAACGAAATGGGAAGCTGTAGGACATGTGGTCAACTCTGCATGATTCAGTTTGAGAGGCTTGTTTATCAGAAACTGGTTAGTGCTGGCAAAGCTAGACGTATCTTTATATTATGCATTTAATTTAGACTGGGGAAATTCTTTGATACTATATATTATGAAACAGGTATCAAAGGCCTTGAGAGTCATAGAATGTTTATACTTCATGTAAAATAGAAAGCCTACTTTTTTCACTCATTTATACGGAAGGGCTTAAAATAATTATTAAGGAGACTTTATTATAAGATTAACATTTTTTTTTTATTTTAATTTTTTAAAAGAGTATTTCTTTATTTATTTGACAGAGCGAGAGACAGCGAGAGAGGGAACACAAGCAGGGGGAGTGGGAGAGGGAGAAGCAGGCTTCCCACTGAGCAGAGAGCCCGACGCGGGGCTCGATCCCAGGACTCTGAGATCGTGACCCGAGCCGAAGGCAGTCGCTTAACCCACTGAGCCACCCAGGCGCCCCAAGATTAACATTTTTTTTTAATAAGTTAATTCCCGTAAAACATTTTGCAGTGCTTCCTGCAATGGTAATGTTCATATCTGGTGAGCAGAGTTAGTCTGGAGAGTTAGGACTCTGCTACTGAACCTATTTCCTGAAAAATAAGGTAGTACAATTGATGACAGAAATGAATATCAGAAAGCTAAGTAAAAGCAGAGAAATCTTTCAGATAGGGCCTTAATACTTCTTCCTTTTTATTGTCTTTTCAGACAAATGACCATGGAAACAATTGAATCTCAGCAGGATGGAAGTGTAACAGATTCTGTGGCAGAGAGCGAATCTGCTCATATGCAGACCCAGACTGGTCAAAATTCAGTCCCTACTTTAGCTCAGGTAAATTTAATGTAGGCGGTAGGCAGGCACTGATGAAAGTGAAACTATATGGAAATAAGTTATGTGCAGATTCTGTTTTCTTGAAGTTGATTTTAAGTTTCCCCTGTTGCCTGGTTATCAGCCATTCTTACTGATTTGATTTCAAAGAGAAGATACGTATTTTAGTTACTTTGCCTTGTAAGGGACACTTTGCAATGTTCCCTCTACCACCACTGCTATGCAAAAGGAAAAACGAAAACCTGCCCGCAATATGTGATCCTCAAATTATTGTTTCACAAGGTTGGTAATTCCAAGTTGGTATAGTCTTAGATTCTTAGCTGGAAGTACTATAGAAATCTTACATTTGCCTAGTATATATTTGGTTTGATCTTCACTGTCTTTTTAGTTAGGTCTTTGAATTGGTTTCATATAGAGACGACCAGTATGAGTTAGTGCCTGATTTTTAGCTCCTAAAATTTATTTCTGAGATATCTGTAAAAGTATGTCGTAAAAAACAAACACATTCGTTTATTTAGATCATCACATATTTTTTGAGTGCCTACTGGCTGTCGGCACTACTTAGATACATGGGGAAATGTAGTTTTGGGCCTTCAATATCTCATGGTTTAGTAGGGAAGACAGGTAATTGAATGATAGCTCCAATAATTTAAGAAGTGCTATAAAATGTTAGGTACAAATGACTAAGGCTTACAGAGGAGAGAGCAGCCAGGTGACGAGGAGTACTTTATGGAGGATTGTGCTTTTGAGCTAGATGTAAAGGGTGAATAGGAGTTTGCCACGTGGACAAGGATAGGGAAGCATATTCTAGGCCAGGGAGGAGTGTTTGCAGAGGCACAAAGCCAGAGTGTTGGGGAACAATGGATAGAAGGACTAACTGGAGCCTAGCGTCTGGGCTGGGAAGTTGAGCTGGTAAACATAAGCAGAGGTTGTATACATTTGAGAGTGTAGAGTATTCTGGATTCTAGATATTCTTGAAGCACAATGTTCCCTGTGTTTAGAACACTAGTATTTGTGTGGACTGTGTGGAGGTTGGATTGGAAGTCAGCCAGCCAGTAGTGGAAACACCTTTTGTGTGGAGTCATGGTAGTGTGGGATACAGTGCAGTGGTGAGATTTTTATAGTGTCTTGAAGGGAGGATAGAGAGGACACCCAGGATGGCTGACTGGAGGCCCAGGGGGTACCAGGGACTTCCTGGGTTGTCTCAGGCCAGACAGGTTCCTGTGAGGTCTCTTCTTCCCTAGACTGGGCCCCAAGCACCCAGCCTGCTTTTCTTTCCTCCTTCAAGCTCCTAACACCTACTCACTCCCTGGGGGTTTTCTCACAAGTGTTCTGTGGAGCTGCATCTCCCTGGCAACACCATTCTTTGTTACCCTGGAATACAGGCATGCAGACCTTTCCTATTTGGTGTGTGTGTGGGGGGGGGCAGCCTTTTTCTTATTAAAAAATGTATGTTCATTGTAGAAAATTAACAAAATATATATTATTATAAAGAAGAAAATAAAAACTACCCATAATCTTAACATCCAGAGATTTAATTAACATTTAGTTAACATTTTGGTGTATATCTTTAACCTTAGGGTCTTTATGAAAAGAATACAATACACATACATTTTTTCATAAATTTGTGATCTTCTAGAGTTTTTATCACTACGATTCCTGATCTTTAATTCAGCCCTTCTTTTCCAAAGTGGTAGTTGAAAGCAAATCTTCCTTTTGCCTTCCCTCCCCTTCCCTTTAGGTCCCTTCTAACTGGCTCCCTTCCTTTTAGGTCCTGGCTGACTGACCCTCACATAGCCTTCCCTCCCTCTTCTGGGCCTGCACAGTCAAAACAGTGCATCTCCATTATCTAAAAATGATAATTTGCAGTCCTGAGGACCTTCAGCCTGGGTGACACCCAACTCTGTGAGCATCAGTCAGAAGTTACTAAAGAGTTCAAGTAAAAAGAAATCTGAAAAATAACCTTGGATTTATGAGAGTTTGGAATCGAATTGGAGTCCAGTGAATAGAAACTAGATTTTCATAGATTAGAAAAGAAATAAGAGGGAGAGGAGGTAGAAATGGAAGTATAGATTCTTCAAGAAGTTTTTCTGTGAAATAATAGAGAAAGATGAATCTGTGAGACAAAGGGGTGAGGGCAGGAGTGTGGCAAAGTGGAGTGTTTTGAGGAAAATGGAGAGAGAGAGACATGAGAAAGCTGAATCGGATGTAGGAAAAAACCTGCAGTTTGTATTTATAATGCTTACTTTAAAAATCTCCACTAATCAGATGTTGGTAATATTAAATCTGGATAGCAAGTTCATGGACTTCCTAGCGTATTTTATTTTCTACATATCTTAAAGATCTGATCAAAGGATAAACTATGGTTTTTATCTTTCACATATTAGGAATGTTGAGAGATTAAGAAGTACTCTGTGTGCTGATTCATTGATTACTTTGGTTAACTAAGAGTTATCCTCTATGCCATGCATGGATCATGATTTTTGAAGAATTAGGACAAATTCTTAGCAGGCAGAATTTTCTAAACATAATTAGATTCTAAACAATTAGGTTCTTGTGATGCTGAAGCTGTTCATTTGTGAGTATTCATTATGATGTGTTATTATATGATAGAAGCATTAGGAAATCAGATTGAAATCTTTATTGAAACTATAATGTATGCTAAAAGTGACTGACTCTTCTGAATAATTCTGGATGCCCTTGTATGCTTGCCACTTGTTTCATTTTTTTCAAAGAGGACTGTTTGGTATGGGTAGGAATTTATAACACTTAATTTCCTTTTTACATGGTCAAATTATCATTAACTAGTGTGGGAACAAAGGGTGTGACCAAAAGATCCAGTCAGTTTGATCCTTTGCATCTGGTCATTTGATAGTAGTTGTTTTGAGTACCATGGCCTTTCCAAACCTTCTGCCCATCAGGGTTGCCAAAATAATCACATTCAGGAAGATCTGACAGCTTGAGCCTGCTCTTGTCCCTCAGGCCTCCGTGTGCACCAAGGAAGGCTAGAGTTTTAAGTTTCTAGTTTTTCTGTTTTACAACTTCCCAAATATAAATGAAATCTTTCCCTTCTCCCTGTAGTCAAAAGTAAATAGAAGTCACAGTGGTGATAATGTCAAAGAGCTGAAAGCAGGAGTTGCCATAAACAGATCCTGGGGGTGGCAAATAATTGAGGTTAAATTGTGACTTGGCTTTCTTCTTGCCTGAGATATTTTTTATGTTGATTTATTTTTAATTGAAGCTGCTTTCTTGTTTGTTAAGTGTATGTGTTGCTATGTAAGACTAGTTTCCATCCCCCTCTGCCCCTGGAAAAACTCTTGGTAATAAGTTGGAGAGTTTATTTTAAATGACCAAGCCAGGAGGAAACGCTGTCCAAAAGCCAAAATGGTGAAAAGCAAAATTACTATATATATATTACTGTATATACAAGTGGTTTTAAAATAGCCACATATCTTCTGCACTTGATCTTAGCCAAAAGGCCGAGAAGCAATAGCCACGTATCTTCTGGAGATAACATCTTTAAATGGGTAATGGGAAGTTGAACTTTCTTTTAAAATGTAGGATTTTAAACATATACAAGGTAGAATAATGCTACGCATATAAATTTGTATATACATAAACTTGATAATTACTAAGATTTTTGTAGCCTCATCTATCTTCTTTTTTTTTCTTTTTGTTGAAGTATTTTAAGCAGCTCTGCAGATCTCAGACATCATGTCATTTTACTCCTACTTACTTCTGGGTATGCAACTTGTAAAAGATTATGGACATTTTTTTATGTAACCAAATGTCACTGTCATACCTAATAAAATCAAGCATAATTCCTTACAATGATATGCACTTCTTATTCACATTTCCCCATTTATCTCACAAATGTGTAATCTACTCTGAAAGCAAGAGTGAGGACACCCTGAATTTTTCTTGTTGCAAGTCTCTTGGGGATTGTTAATGTCACCATGAAGATCTGGATAGGCGAGGTAATCCACATGGAGCCACTGGAAAGGATGTGCTTTAAAATATGCTTCCCAGAGATTCATTCCTTGTAGCTGCTGATGAAGCCTATGGGCCTGAGTTTGACACCTCAACTCTAAAAGCTAAATAACTTTTTTTTTGTAAATGACCAGTTCTCTAGGTGTCAGCAAAGATGAAAGGAGCAGAATCACAGGAGTCCTAGAGCTTGAAGGAAGCTCTGGAGATCATCAGGGTCAGCACTGCCTCAAGAGAATTTGTTCTAATATAAAATTTAACCTTCCCATGGACCTGTTTATTTTTGGAAACAAGGAGACTATAGGGAGCAGAAAAAAACCACTTGGGAATGTTGTTCAAGGATTATGCTCTGCTAATCTCCTTTCTTATCCTGTCTGTTCTAAATGCAAACAGTATGTAAAGGAGCACTTCAGAATAAAGCCAGCCTGGCATGCAGTGAGGGATTGAAGTAGGAATGATTTAACAAAGGATACATTTTAATATATGAGCTGTATGTTTTCTGTTTCAATATGGTGGGAAATTAGAATGACATTCCTCATTGCTTTGGCTGGCTGTGCCAAAAGTCCATCTTCTTGGTCCTAAGTAGGACCAGGAAGGATGTGGATGGCTATAAGAAAACAAAACAAATGAAACATTTGCTATTGATAATGTGTCAGCAACGTATTTGTATATTAAAGATGGTCTGCATTGTGTTAGGTTGATTTGGTATATTTACTGTCAGCTAAGTAGATCGAATTTAAGCTTAGTGTTCAATTGAATCTTGTTTTTCAACTTCAACATACTAATTCCCTTACGTGAGTGACTCTTACTGAAGGAGAAGGAATGTACCTCTTAAGATTTTGAGGTAAAAATTTTTATTTCAGTATTGACTTTCTGTTGCTCCTTATTTTTATGTATTCCTTCCTCTGGCTCTTTTTCATGGCTTTAATTTAATTTTTTTATATAATGTTTTACTTCACTTAGAATTCTCTCTAAAAATGAACAAAAGTTGGAAGAAAAAGTAAAACTCAATTTTT